GGGGGAAGGGCCCACGGCAGTGGCGGCTGTGGGTGCGAGGCTGGGCTGACTCAGACGCGAGGGGGGACGGGCCGCTGAGCCGCGCAGCTCAGGCACTGCCGGCGGGGGGCCCAGGAGCCGCCCCCCGGGGCCTCCTCAAGGGAGACGGGCCCTGAGTGGCGCCTGGAACATCAGCGGGGCCGGGAGGAGGCACCAGCTTAACCTCCCCGCCGTGCAGAGGGGCGCCCCGTGACTCGGGGCCCAGCAAGGCAGGCAGGGAAGGCCTCCGCCCTGCCCCACGAGTCTCCTGCAGCCCCCAGGGAAGAGCACAGGTCCCCGTCTCCGTGGCAGGAGGGGCAGCCCGGGTGCCCACCTGAGGCACTTCCCAGCACTTCTCAGACCGCGCAAGGCCCCCCTTGGAGCCAGAGAGGGTCTGGCTGTCCGCCTTGGCGACTGCTGCCCCTGAGCCAGGAGTGAGGCCCCAGCCAGTGGAAAAGCTTTGGCATCCTGTGACTATCGCGCAGGCACCACAACACAGTATGCCCAGGCGCTGGCCCAGCCTTCCTCTGGGGGCCACGGGAGGAGGGCCCCCAGTCTGGCTCGTGACAGTGGGACTGTTTTCTGGCCAGGCTCTGGACACAGTCTCACCGAGTGCTCCCAGCGACCCTGGGACACAGGAATAGGGCTGTTCTGCCGGTTGGGAGGTGAGCGGCTTTAACCCACACACAGCTCCCTGAGCCGCTCTCCCGGGCTCCTTCCGCCTCCCGGCGTCCAGGAACCCTGTCGCCTCGGGGCCTCGGGGAGGGAGTCCTGGCAGGTGGCGAGGGGGTGCACCCCTCTTCCCGGGCAGCTGCCTCTCGAGAGAGTTGTGCCAGACCCCTGCCCTGGGCCCACCTTGGGCTCTAGGTGAGGCCCAGCCGTGACTGTCCTGTTGGCAGATAAGCTCGCTGGCGGACACGGAGAGCTCGCGAGGCTCAGCTGGGCTCTCGGGCTCCCCTGGGCCCAGGCCAGCGTGTGTGCACAAGGAGGGGCCGCCTGCCCAGGCTCAGAGCCGCATTGCCCTCCCACAGCCAGTCCAAGGGCCTCTTCCCCGGGCCATCTCAGCGGTCAGAACACGCGGGGACAGGGGTGCCTGGCACACGCGAGGCCACTCCCAGCCCCGAGCAGGAAGTCCTTGCACAGCAGCTGCCCGGCCTCAGGCACCTGAGACCTTCCTCCCCTCCCAGCTGGGCCTTCCTCCCAGCCCTCCCTCTCCCAGGCCAGCTAAGGCAGCCCCGCCACGCCCGCCCCTGGGCCGTGGTCCTCGGCCTCCCCAGCCTCACGGCTCCAAAGGGAGGCCGTCTTGGCCCGGCTGCTTCCTCTGGCAGGGAGGGCCTCGCCCAGGCATCCCTCCTGCTGCCCGCCTGCCTCTGGAAGACCAGGACCCACACCCCGACACAGCCCCCAGGCCAAGGGGGCTGGCGCCAGCAATGCCTCCCCACCTCTCAGCTGGGCCATTAGCCCTCCGCACAGTCGGGACGAGCCGCATCCCACTTCGCAGAAACACCAAGGACATCAGCCAGCTTCCGTCAGAACCCTAGCTCACTTGGGCAGTCACCCGTCGGTCCAGCCGCCTGTGCACCCACCATCTGCCTGGGCTGTGGTACCTGTTCTCCTGAAGCCCCACGTCTGAGCTGGTGGGGGTGAGGGCCCCAAGGTGCAGCAGGAGCTCGGCAGGCACGGGGGGCGGGGGCAGGGTTGTGGCGGGAGCAGGGGGACGTGGCCCGAGGACCACGTGGATCTCATCTCTGCCCACACCCCCAAAACCGGCCACTCAATGACGGGGCCCCCCAGGGAAGGCTGCCCCAGAGGGAGGAGCGTGGCCTCAGGCCCTGCCGGCCAGGAGCCGAGCCCACTCCTGGGAAGCACCCTCTGTGGACTTGAAAACATGCTGCTTTAATTTAGGGCATGGGCACGCCAGAGAAATCAGCTCCCTGGGCACAGGGCACCCAGTGCCGGGCCAGGCCTCGCCCGTGACATCCTGAAAAGGAGGGCCCGGCCTGCGGTCATCAGTCCACGTGCAGACCAAGCTTCTCCAGGCTGCCAGCCGTACCCGCTGTCTCCAGGCGTGGTCTCGGGACTCCAGGGGGACAAGAACAGCAGCTGAGGTTGCGGGAACCAAATGCAGCCAAACCAGTTCTGGGCACTACACGCCCTGGGGACAGGTGACGGCCAGCCCTGCAGGTGGGCGGGGCGAGGCCAGGCAGCAAACAGAGAGCACAGGCCCTGCTCCCACCGAGCACTGAGGCGTGCGCAGCAGGGTCCGTGCACTCGGGGCGCCGGCCGTCAGGCTCACAGGCCGTCCTCCGCCAGCTTGCACACCCGCTTCACCCTGGCGTAGGGCCCCAGGGAGTCCTCGGACACAAAGTCCCAGAGCACCTTCACCCACGAGTAGTGCTGGGGCAGGTGGTCGTAGTACTCGGGCGCGATCTTCCGCACCTGTGGAGAGGGCACATGGGTCAGAGGCCACGCACAGGCACGTGCACAGCCACAGGCACGTGCACAGCCACAGGCACACGTGCACGCAGACACACGTAAGCACACAGACCACGTGAGCACATGCGCAACCCTGTCATCTCCCAGGGTACCCGTGTCCGGGCCAGCCGGGCAGGAGGCCGCCCGGCGCTGCCCAAAGGCGGAGGGGCCATTGGCCGGGGGCACCAAGAGGCGCTGAGGCCCCTGCCCCAAATGGGGGTGAGGAGTTAAAATGCACACCCCCCTCCCCGGAGCCCACACCCCTAG